AAAATAACTCAGATGATCGGAATAGATGATATTTTCGACATAGTTAAGTTCTAAGTGAGCTTTGATTAACTCGCACGAATTATTAAGACTAAAAATAATTTCGTTAAAATTCACCGATTCTTGTTTTAATTATAGCAACTTATGTATATTTATCTCATTTTTAACGACCACAACGTAAAAGTTTATACCATACTTACAGGTCTGTTGATGATAAAATTCTTTGAGGAAGATTTGATGTGGGCGTTTTATTGATATTGTGAAATAATACACATAAAATTACTCAGTCGATTTATTTCTTAGACTTTACGACTAGCCTACTTTTTTCCTTTGTTTTGGAATTACGTCATACTATTAAAAATACTAAGTGTTATTATTTATGTATATGTAAATAGGCAAAGGCAAAACAGTTCAGTGCCTGCTTCTCATCTATGTTTCGACCGATTTTCTTTTCTTTCTTTTTTGTTCCGTAGCTATTGACGAATTTAAGTGTTATCAATAAAAAAATTAAGAAACAAGTTAAGTATTTATTTTTAAATAAATCTATCTATTCATATATGCTTACCTCAAATTTTCAGTAATAGTATGTAGTAGTTGTATATAATAGATGTAATGCTTGTAATGTAATTATTATTTATTAGTATCTGTTAAACTATGCATTTCAAAAATTTGTCATTACTAATAAGTACACTTAGATTTTCTATTCCTACTTCTTACTTACTATGGATGGATGGATTGCTCTTTCACAAAAAAACTACTGAATGGATTTTGATAAAGCTTTACAGTATTTTACAGCATGTGCATAAGCTTTAATTTTTAAAGATACAGTAAGCAATCTATACATATAATAAAATTGTAACTGAGCCGAATCTGTACATTCAATATTTTTTGGAAAATCTTATTGAAATAGGTAAATTTATTATCGATACAGAGGCCGAATCTATAGTTTTTAGAATTTTTGTGTGTCTGTCTGTTACCACATCACGAAAAAATCACTGGAGGTATTTTGATAAAATTTGGTATGGTGATAGCTGGTTATCCGGATCAACATATAGGATACTTTTTACCGCGGGAGTATGTCTCATTCTGAGAAAAAATACAAAAGGTGCAATGTAAGAGTATACTAATATGTAAAACCTAAGAATTGGGTTTTTGGTCATCTGAACGCGGGCGGAGCCGCGGGCAATATATATATGTATGAAATTTAGTGTGTTTTAGTTAATAACTTTATAACACTGTAATGATGCTAATTTGAGCCTCAACTGATTTGAGTAAAAAGGGAAGAGAGCTAGCTAATATCTGGATAACAGTCATAGATTTTCATAGATGCATCTAGCTATGAGTGAAGCCATATTACACTACACACTACTGTTTTATATCTAGGGATATATACAAATATAAAACTTTTATTTTTTGGCTTTTTTGGCTATGTATAGCAGTGGCAATACATTAAAATGTCCCTAGATGAATTCGCCCGAAGTTCCATTTCTGCGCGTGGAAAATTTATATTTTTGATATTCTTCCATGCAAAAACTACTGAACGAATTTTGATCAAACTTTACAATAATACAGTTTTTACATGAGAGTAACACATAGACCTTTATAAAAATATAGCTATGAATGTAAGGTTACACTACGCGGGTGGAGTCGCGGGAAATTGCTAATATACTATATATGTTGGTACTATATTATTATACTTTATTACACCGGCTAATGCAGTGCAAACTTTATTTATACATTTACATGATTTTATTTAACTTATGCAGCATTTCCTTTAAAAATATTTTCTTGAATTGGGGATGGAAGAAAACAAGACTATTCGCTTTTATGTGGTTTTTAGGGTTCCGTACCCGAAGGGTGCAAAGTGCCAACGGAACTCTATTACTAAGCCTCCGTCCGTCCGTCTGTTAGAGGGCTGTATCTCATGAACCGTAATAGGTAGATAGTTGAAATTTAAAAAAAAATATAAAATAAAAATACAACAAACATATATAGAGTAAAAGTCATATTAATAAAAAGTACATGTTCGATGGTACGGAACCCTTCGTGTGCGAAGTCGACTCGCACTTAACCGATTTAATTAAGAATCTGATTATTATTAACGGTAAACGTTGAAAAAGTAGAGATTTTAGTAATCGGCATAAATATCTATAGTTATACATTTTGTTTTACATGTTGAAGTGATAGATTTAAGACAGCTTGTACTGTGTTGGGCGACGAATCTTGTAACAATCCATTTCTTACTTCTAGCATTTCTCGCAAGGCTGTCAATGTTTTTTGTGTATTTATATAAGTACCTATTTACATCACTATGTTACATTTTACGCTGATTATAAAAAATAGGCAGAACAGCCAAACTTTAAGAACTCACATATATAGTTGAGATCTAACTTTATTAATTTATGGCTTAGACAATCAAATTCATTTTATTTAAACAGTAAGAACTTTTATCTGATCTCTGTCACAACTGTTATCTCGAAAACACGATTTTTCAGTATTATAATTCATAAGTTTGTATATTTTATTAATAAATAAAAAATTTAAATTTTGTTTGTACCTTACTTTATGAAACAAATTTGCATGCACAAATCCAAATGCGTTTCGTCATAGTTGTTTTGTAAACTTTGAGCTTTCCTTGCGCAACAGATTTTCACAGCGCTTGCAGCTAAAGTTTCACAGAATTTTCTGTAAAATTTTGCATCTGATTAGGTCAAAACTTCTAAGTCATATATGAAAGTTTATGCCAGATGAGTCTTTTGCAAGTAGTTTACGCTATTACATTAATATCAAAAGTGTGTATTCTATAATTATAAGCAGTGTTCTGTGCTTTATTTAAGTTTGCTTGTCCACTTTTGAGTTAATTTGTAACATTTTCAATGTATATACTTTTTATATATATTTAATTCAGTAATCAGAATATACCATTTTAAATTTGAACTCAAATTAAAGAGCTTTATATATAAAACTCAAAAGCTATAAATTTTATGAAAGCTATTTTTCTACAATTACATGGTATGCCCTAAAATTATAAATGAATAATAATCCTCTATGATTCTGAACCTGTATACCAACAAAGTCAATGACTGTATCTAATTCACTTTATAGGCTTATAACGAGGCGTGGTGTTGAGGGTGATTAAATAACTCCTTTAATCTAAGTCCAATCAGGCAGGACTGATATCTGTGGAGCGTTGAGGATATACAGCCTCCCTAATAGCTGTTAATTAACACTAATGTTGATTTAAGCCATTTTGTATCGCCCGTTTTGCTGAAATACTACTATGTAATTCATTACATATCCAATTTGCCTAATTTACATAACGAGATTGCTTTAATACGTAATGTTACTTAATGGGAATATTATTCCGTAGGTATATTGTAAAAAAGACAACTTGTATATTTCAATTTCCACTATAATTGTTCATTTCTATTTAATCTTTGGAAATGTTTTGTTTAAGACGTTTGCTTTATGTAAAGAATTTGATTAAAAACGAAAACAAAATATAATCTTGTATATACAAATGAAATAAAACAATAAAAAGAGAAATTATATGCTTGCTATAAAACCTTTTATATTTTGATCAGCATGTGGGCGTGAGAGAGTAATGTCAGAGGTCCCTTTCATTTTTTCTTTCAACGAAAAACAAAATAAAACAGATCGTCCACCAGGGTTCATAAAATATAACATTTTTAAATTATGGCTTATTACATTTCCTTTTGATTACAGTCCCAACATTTGCTTAAAGGGATTTTTTTATCAAAATAGATTACTTAAGCACGAAAGCCAAAGCTTTTCGTTGAGTTACGCTTTACACTTGAAAGCACTACTGGACAATCAATGCGAAATGATGCTGTCAACACCGTCTGGTGTCACACTAGTTGTCAAGTTGCTATGGCATGACAGCTGAACCTATTTAGTGTTTATTGGAGTTCTATGTAGGTATGTACTTCTGAATGAACATTGAACATTCGCTGAAATATGATGTCGTATGTTTTAAGTTTATGTGAGCTTGAGATTTGAGGAATTACTAGATAGTCAGTCATTTTAATTGCTATATTCATATATATCGTCCCTTAGCTTACAACACCGCTCAAGTCGAAAATTGGCGGTTTTCACATTTTAATGGCTTTAGATGGAGCTGCTCATTGCGCGTCTAACCATTGGTCACATGATATAGATTTCAGCCAATCAGAAGCCATAATTCGAAAAGTAGTGACAGCGTGCAAGTCGGTTGACCTCTCAACACCGCACAAGTTGTTAGTCTCTCATACTTTTCTTGTAAAAGTACTTCGCGCTTCATAATTATTATATTTTTACGTGAGTTTTATCGCTGAAAGGTCTATGCAAGAAGTTTTAATAGAAGATTAAGAGGTAAGCTATATAATAAAGTAATGTTTATTGATTTACGCGTATTAATATAGAAAGAAATGATAATAGAATATCTTCATTTACTTAAGCGGTGTTTACTAACTATCTTTTTTAACTTAGGCGGTGTTTCAAAATGTATTTTATTTCTTTTAGGAAGCTCAATAATTATTGAAATACACTATGGATGGAGATAAAATTGATTCCTGGAGTGATCCGAGTTCAGGTGATGAATTGTTATGTGCTCAATTACAAGAAGCAGGACTGATGTCAAAATATAAATGGCGTAAACAAAGTTGCAAAGAAGATAAAAAAAGAATTAAACTAGGTTAGTAGCATAGGTTTGTTTTGAAGTCCGCATTTACTTTTTTTGTTATTTATATTTTAATGCATTCCATCCTATTTTTTTTTTGATTTAAATCAAAAAGATAACACTAGTTCTTCTGATACCAAAGCATGCAATTCTCCTAATAAATACGAAATTATTGCAACACCAATAAACGAACAAAACTTTAGGGAGTCCATGAAAAGTATTTTAAGTAGCCAGGACAATGTAAGAACAACATTTAACCAAAACATAGACTTGGATATTGAAAACATTGACATTAACAATCTACAAGTTATAGAAAAACTTGGTAATGACTTCTTTGATCTGCAACAGGTACCAACCGAATATCGCTACGGTGGCGATCGAGTATCCTCGGCCTTCTGTATTGAATGATGTAAAAATCACGGTAGAAAGTGAGAACGTTGTGCAAGAACTAGGAAATATTGTCCTTAATATAAATTCTATAAATTTAAATCATGACGAATCTTTCCCTACTTCAAACCAAGATATTCTCGTATCTACGAATACTCAAGACCCAATTTCTGATATAGTCATTGATAATGAAAACAATACTAAACGTACAGATAAAAATAATATAACCCAGAACAATATGCAGCAATCCAGTGCTTCTGCTACTCCATCGTGTTCTTCAAAAGTGGTCATACTCAGTAATGTTCCATATCACGGTGATTTGTTAAGTCATAAAAAACGACAGAACAAGGCGACAAAAGATTCAAAGAAATATAAACGCAATGTTAATAAAGAATTACGGATGAGAGGTGAAAATTATTTAGGATACAGAAGAGACAGAAAAGCAAAGACTAATGAAACATTTAAAGTGAAACAAGACGTATTTAAGCCTGCAAGATCCATGAAACCACCGTGCGCTTCTGCGTTTTGCAAAAAATCCAAACTCAGATCATGTGACAACATTAACGAACAACAGCGGCAATATTTGTTTGAAAATTTCTGGAAGAACATGAACTGGGAGCAGAGAAGATCGTTTATAACTTCTCACGTTAATAAAGTACCAAAGAAAATTACAAAAAATCCAGAATCATCCAAAAGAATTGATAGTCGAACTTACGTTTTGACGATTGATAATGTACGTCACCGAGTCTGTAAAAGAATGTTCTTAGCTACTCTTGGTATTAAAGATTGGTTTGTCAGATATTGGCTGACAAAAACAGACTGTGCCATGCCTACCGATTTGTCTACTTCAACCAGTAATCGCAGAAATCCAGAGAAAATTGAAGACCCCAAATATGTTGAAAAGTTTTTAGCAGGTTTTCCAAAGATGCCGTCGCATTACTGTCGTGCTAAAACATCCCGATAATATTTAGAACCAATTTTCTCAAACATGCCACAGCTCTATCACACCTATAAAGAGAATTGTGAGTTAGAGGGTAGAGAATGCTTTGGCCGTAAATTATTTGACAAATTATTTTTGAAGCTCAATCTGAGCCTATTCCACCCGAAGAAAGATCAATGTGACGTTTGTTGCAGTCATAAAACTGGAAACATTACGGATGAAGAATACGCTCAACATGTTTTGAAGAAAGATCTACCTAGGAAAGAAAAGGATACTGACAAAGATATTGCACAGTTCGGAACTTGTCACGTATTCACACAGGAGGTTGAATCGGTGAAATTGGCCCCGTATCTTCAAGCAAGTGCAATTTATTAAAAAATAAAATTATGCGTCCATAATTTTACATTATACAATTTAGCAACTAAGGATGTAATGTGTTATTGGTTCGATGAGTCAAATAGTACGCTTGAAGCCTCTGTTTTTGCTTCATGCTTAGTAGACCATCTAAAGAAGGTTTTGAGTCAGAAATTATTGCCTGTGATTTTATATTCCGATGGCTGTTGTGCTCAAAATCGCAATGTTACCTTGAGCAATGCTTTATTACGTTTAGCGATTGAAAAAAATATTGTGATTACTCAAAAGTACCTGGAAAAAGGCCATACCCACATGGAATGCGATTCTGTACACAGTGCAATAGAGTGTAAATTAAAAGGTAAAGAAATTTACCTTCCACAACAATACATGACTATAACTAAAACTGCTAGGAGTGATCCAATGCCCTACGAGGCTCGTTATTAGGACTATACCTTTTTTACCGACTTTTCGAAAGAATTCATTTATAAATCTATACGGCCTGGTAAAAAAGCAGGTGACCCAGTCGTCACAGATGTACGTATGCTAGAATATAGAGCAAATGGCATAATTTGGTATAAAATTGGTTTTGATGATGAGCTTCAGCCGTTAAAACATCGTCCCACGCGAATTAACAGCATTAAACAAATAAATCACCTGCAGAAATTGTATGCAGCTAGAATACCAATTACAAAGAGGAAGTATGAAGATTTGCAAGACCTAAAAAGTGTATTACCATCTAGTTGCCACTCTTTTTATGATGACCTTCCACACAGCAATCGCTAAAGACTGCAACTAACTATTAGACTAGAAATTTCGAGTATTATTTTTTTATTTTTATAATTTTATTACTATTATGTCTTATTTCGTTGGAGTTTATTAAAGACTATGTTTTAAATACTTACCTATTAAAATAAAAAAATAATTGCACTGAGTGCAAGTCTTACGCTCTAAGGTTCGTGTGTCACCAAATGACTTTAAGCAATTGATCTCAGCAATGTGATTCTTAAGATTTAAGTAATAGATACCTATGTTATAACGATTGTTAATTATTATTCTTGAAATATTTCTTATTAAAAACTTTTCTTTGTACATCATCTATCAATTCTATTAATACCTTATTCCTTACACTTCCGCAAACAACACCGCCTTTATCTAATAAAATATCAGTCAACACAGCTCAAGTCATAAAATAAATGTTAAAATAAAGTAAATCGTCAAAATAAGTATAATAATTATTTCTTAACCGCTGCCTAGGATATTTATTAAGTAAAAACAGAAAAAATCCACGGAATTTTTTAAATAGGCAGTTTTTTTCGTCTCCTGTAAACTTGGTAAAAATGACTTATACGGTGTTGTTAGCTAAGGGACGATATATATATATATATATATATATATATATATATATATATATAATCATTCATTATATATCATTGGTAGTATTATGATGTTATAAAACCAAATAAATTCACTTAAAAAGAATATTTTCTTTTATGGCAAAGTATAAATAATTATTTAATATTTATTTAATAACAATGTAAAATAACGTGATATGAATAATTCCGTATAGAAATATTGTTTTAATTTTCTTAAAATAAAAACGACAATGCTTCTTTTATGTAAATATATGAAACAGAATAAGGTGCAGAAATAAAAACGGATCCTTTATCTACTTGAAGCTTGCTCAAGTGGTGGACTATATTGCAGACGATATTATCACGAACCGAAGTAAAGGGACTACGACGAGTAAATTCAATCAAGTGGTTTCCAAAGAAACCTTAGTTAATTCTATTATACTATATTCTATAGATATTTTGTAATACCATTACATTCAAATGATTTTCACACAAACTTATTAATTTTGGTAATTCGTCTAAAACTCACCATATGTAAAAGAAATAATGGATATTTTTGATTAAATTTATTAAGTTTGTTTTTCATTTTTCGTATAGTTTTGGCATTGCCTGAGTGTATGAGTGAATATTATTAATATTAGGCTTATTGATAAGTAACAGTTTATGGTCGAACCAAAATTACATAAACTACCATTTTGGTGGTTAAGTTTTAGGATTAAACGGTGACATTATATATTGTATTTGATATACGAAATTTTTTGTCAATTTTATTTCGTAGAGTTACAAGTAAAATTATATTAGCTTATGATAATGAACACAAAACTCCTATTATATTTTATAGCTCATGAATACCAAAAATGGAATTTAATCTTTATAAATATATCATTATAATAGGTATGTACATGTACTTGATCAATGAAATATAAAAGTTTTCAAAAACATACATAGTATTTATTCATTATTCAGCTTTTCGTAAGCCATATTTGTTTCTGAGGATATTAGGGTCAGAATAGCTACGTTTCTAAATTCTCTTAGGGACCATTTCCATATTTTACTCATGATGATATAAGCATAAAATTGATATGATTTTTATATTAATATATATTTAAAAAAAAAAACATTTTATTATATAATGTAATGCTATTCTCATTAAAAAAATATTATATAGAATTCTAAGCTCTTAACTTTTTAAGGAATAATAAAATCTCAATATTAATCAAATAAAAGCGAAATAAAATTGCTTCAGTACTCCGTAATTGGGCTTTTACATCGCTGTCGCCCCTAACACAATAGACCTTGATGGCATTGAGAGCTTAAACTAAAGGCATTTACTCGTAGCCTACTAATTTTCGCATTTTGACGGTTAATTTTGTGTCCGTCAGCCTGCCTTTTAATTTTATTATTTCTTAATATATTTTACTGTTAACACTTATAAAGATGTTTTCTTTATTTTTATTAGCAGAACCCGCGGTTTCGTTCGCGCTAAAACTACAAAAAAATCTCTAAAAATGTAGTTTCATACACTTTCATCCCCTATTTTACCCTCTTATAGGATGAATTTCGAAAAATGCTAAAATACGTATTTATTTAATTTTATTGAAGAACATTAATGTCAAGTTTCAAGTAATTCTGATCATAAATATTTTTTTGGATTGTATTATATAACGTGTTTTCCCGTGGGAACTAAATAATATCCCGCGGTAAAAAGTAGTCTATATAACTCTCCAGCCTTCCAACTATCTCCACACAAAAAAAACACGCCAATCCGTGACTCCGTTTCGACCTGAAAAAAATACAAACAAACAAACACACTTTCACATTTATAATATTAGTATGGGTTATTCAAGCTATTTGTGCGTGAGAAAATCGACTTAAACCTTTTATCGGACAGAGAATAAAGTGAGCATACATAAAACATATGAAATGAATGAGATATGGTTGTAGAAATAATGTTAATTCTGTTATGTAAATTGTTTCCGACGAATATCTCGATACGTTTCGGACATACTGGCGCTTGTATAATTTAAGTTTCAACGTGAAATATCGGTAAGCCATAAATTTTCTAGTGCCGAATCGATTTAAAAGAAAATCTGGAGATAGTTTGCGTTGTACTACAGTATTTTATTACTTTCAAATATTAAGATCAACAAAAAATGTGTTTAATGACTACGACTGTTTAATATTCACATTTAATTGGTGCTATAGAAAAGTGATATAATTATTAAATATCGATTGTAATAATAGAAAACTGGCAATAAGTTGTAGGTAATAAAAACATAAAAGGTACTGGTGTTAGTTGCATTGAGTGTAAGTGCATTGGCCGCGTTGACATTTAATTAAATTGACTCGTGTTCGCGAATCGCTGAACCGTCTCGAGCTCCTGATGGAATACGATTCTATATTGTTATTATTATTACTGGTAATGTCATTTGTATGGCTTTTAAAAATTTCTTGTGAAACTTAGCTAGTTAGAATGGGCGATACAATAAAAAAATAAATGAAAGAAACATAAAGACTCTAAATGTATTTTCTTCAATTCATTTGAATGCATTTTAAAATATACGCATTTACAAGCAGTAGATACAGTTACTGCTCTCAAGAGACTTCGTTTAAGCTGACTATAGTAAATAAAAATAAAATATGTAAGTATATTTTTCACAAAAAGGTCACCCTATCCTTATCTCCTTAAAATGCAATTATTTTCATAACATTTCTGAGCGGACACCAGGATAACTTTAAGCTGATCAGATGATTAGATTAAAAAAAATCGGATAGATTTGCTCGCAATACTCCTTTTGCGTTTTCGTCGATTTTTGATCCTTCTTTTTTCATTTGAAGTGGTGGACTCTACCTTAATTAGAACATAAAAAAAATCACTAAGCCTTAGATGACATAGTATACTAGTATACTAAAAACCTATAGATTTCGGGGGTAACATTAAGGGCAATATTAACATATATCCTATAGGTCTAGCAATTATTGCTTACAACTGCTTACTTAAGTACTACTATTATGCCAGTGTACATAAATAACATGTAATATTTTTTGCATAATACCCAATAATAATACGTCTTATATTAAGTTAAATTATTTGTAAAAATAATTTAATATGTTTTAGAGTTCATTAGTCTTTCTCAAACGAAGCTCGAAGCGGTACCAAAGTGTTCCTCGCTGCTAAAACAAAGTGCCTGCTCTCTTTGTCTACGTTCGGAGAGTTTTACACGAGTTTTAGTTTGGAGTAGTTTTAACGAAAGAGGTAGATTGCGTCCTCGCATGTTGAGTTTACTTGTTATGTTTTATTTTCTGAAACAAAAA